ATATATAACATATTAAATTCATTAATAATGATTATATAATTTATATATTTGTATATTATATATAAAAACATAGAATATAAAAATATATAATATAATATATATTACATTATATATTATATATACATTTCTATAAAGTCAGTAGTAATGTCTACTCTTTTATGTATGATTTAAATGACAGAATCCCTAAAATATATATATATTTTTTAGGGATTCTGTTGTTAGGTACACACAAGGTTATAATTGCTACATCTTCCTGACAGAATAATATTATATGTTTATCAATATATAATAATTCTCTTTGTCTCTTTGATCCCTTTTGGACTTAAAATGTTTGTTGTTCGTGTTGTTTGATAATAAAACAGTTGCTCTAGCTCACTCTTGGTATGGAATATCTTTTTCCATCCTTTCAACCTCTATGTAGTTACTTTTATCAGTTTTCTTTCTTCTTCATATGGCTTTCAGTTACTGTCTAGTATCTTACTTCAGCCAGGACTCCCTTTAGCATTTCTTGTAGGGTAGATCTATTAGTAACAAACTCCTTAAGCTTTTGCTTATCTGGAGATATCTTAATGTCCCCTTGAATGTCCCCCTATTCTTTAATAGTACAGACAAATACAGAATTCTTTCTTGACTTTTTTTCTTTCAGCACTTTATTGTCAGCCCACAGCTTTCTGGCTTCCATAGTTTCTGATGATAAATCAGTTGTAAATCTTATAGACTAGTGCTTATATGTGATGAGTCACTTATCTTTTACTGCTTTCAAAATTCTGTCTTTGACTTCTCCCAATTAGACTACAATGTGTCTCAGTGTAGACCTCTCTGACATTATACTACCTGAATCTATTGAGTTTCTTGGATGTATAGGTTCATATCTTCTACCAAATTTTGGAAGTTTGGGCCATTATTTCTTCAAATATTCTTCTTGCCCCTTTTATTTCTCCTTTTTTCTGGAATTACTAACGTGTAAATGTTCTTCTGCTTGATGGATGTCCCACAGGTCTTTTAGGCTCTACTTACTTTTCTTCACTCTTTTTTCTTTCTGCTTCTTAGACTCAATAAATTCAATTATCCTATCTTCAGGTTCATTTATTCTTTCTTCCACCTGCTCACATCCACTCTTGAATCCCTCTGGTAAATTTTTTATAGTTATTGTACTTCTCAGCTCCAAATTTCTATTTGGTTCTTTTCATAATTTCTAGCTCTTTAATGACATTCCCAATTTGTTCATACATTATTTTTCTTATTTCCTTTAGTTCTTTGGCCATGGTTTCCTTTACATCTTTGAGCATATTTCAGATACTCAATTTAAAATCTTTATCTAGTAAATCCAATGTTTGGGCTTCCTCAAGAATGGGTTCTATTTATTCTTTTTGTTTTAATGGGTAATACTGTTTTCTTTGCATGCCTGTAATTTCTTGCTGCAAATTAGATATTAAAATATTAGATTATAATGTGGTAACTTGGGAAATTAGATTCTCCCCACTTCCCTACATTTCACTGTTTTTGATTAATCGAGGCTTAGCTAGTGTTCAGCCAATGTTTTGAAAGAGATTTCCTTAGAAGTCAAAGCTTAAAAACAAAACTAAAACAAAAAACAAAAGCACTTATCCCAGTCTTTGCAGACTGACTGTGTGCTGGGATATTCCTTTAAGACTTAACCATACCATTCACAACTCTGCCTTGGCCTTTTCTTCCTGCTTTTACTGGGCCTAGAAAGCACACAGTGATAAAGTTTATGGTCTTCTTTGGTCTTTCCTGAACATGTGTCCTGCCCTGGGCATGCATGTGGCTTTTTAAATTCCCTTCTATACACTGAGGCTGCTTGTACTAATTTCAAAACAAAAACAAAAATAAAAACAAATTCTCTGCTAGACTCTTTCTACTAGGTCAACTATATTTCTCACCGTACTCTATTGCCCAAAAAAGCTTGCCCAAAAGCAAGTTTTCATTTGCTTTATAATGTGTTCAACCAATGCCTACTAATTTTCCCGCCTGACTAGGTTCAAATTAGGTAAAACAGATATATAAGCACCTGCATCAGCCCTTCAAGTAGCTCTCAGGTAGGTTGATCAGACAAATGCAATAATTTGCAAATAAGGTCTGCTCTGCTCCCTCTAGAACAGGGCATCTGGGTCCCACAGTGGCAACTTAGACTGTCATCTTCAAGACTGTTGCCAAGCTGGGGAAGGAATGAGGCTTAGGCAAATAAAAAAGGAACAAAGCATTCTTTCCACCTTTCAGTTGTCTTTTTCTTTTCTCAGCACTCCTTCAGTTGGTATAAACCTTTGATGTTTCCAGGTTCTGACAAAGTTGAATCTGATAGTTTAGGCTTGCTTTTCAATGTTTTTGTGGAGAGGTAGGGTTTTAGGGCTGCCTGCTCCAACATTTTGCTGATGGCACGCTAAGTAGTTATTTTTAAAGATCTAAAAATTGATAGCATAGCCAGATAAAAATCTACTATTGTAACATTTATTATTTTTGTACCATTTTATCTTTAAAAGCCTACAGTGTCTTATTTCCAAAAATTTCTACTGAGTTCCACGAGTTGGAGTGTTAAACTGCTAAAACTGCATATAATTAGTCACATAAAATTGCAACTTAATGAATATAATTTTTTATATTTTAATACTTTGACTACTATTATTGTTTGTTTGCTGGCAAGTACTAAATGATAAAATATTAGAAAAATTGAAACAGCTTTTTATTCTTGATTAAATAGATTTTTGCCCTAGATACATAGTTTTAAAAGATGTATACCATAGACATACATTCCAATGGTAAAACTGAGTGACTATTATGAAAATAAAAATATAAATATTTCAGGGTAGTACTTCAGAAAAAGGACAATATTCAGCCAATAGCAGCCTGACTTTTTTAGGTGCTACACCATGTTTAAGAAATATTGTTAAGCAGAATCCGATATTTAAAACATCAGAGTCTACATCTATTAGAGCTCCAAATTGAAATGCTTTAAGCAACTGTTTCTGTAAACAAACTGACAGAATTCAAAAAGCACACATATTTGTTGTCTGCTAAAGTCAATCAAAATTATGGCAGTTATAAAGAAAACATATTCTAAAGAAATTATCAATAAAACTTACATACCTCATTCTAAAACACTTGTCAAATTTTACTTACAGAAGACGTAAAAAACAAAACCATGCAATAATCTGTAGAATCAACAATTCAGTCAATTGTTAAATTAATGAGTTCAAGAAAAAATAACAGCCCCAATAAAATCATCAATTATGGCTAGTTCCCTTTTAGGCTTTTGTAACTTTATTATACATTTTAACATAACACTGTTAGTTTACTACAACCATAATATAAATCTATAGTCAGATTTATGAAATATCACTGGATCATAAATTAATTTAGTGAGTGGGCCAAGGCCAACATTTATTTAACATAGTAGTATAGAACAGAATAGATAATATCAACGAGCACTGCACATAAGGATATGTATTATTTCATAAAACTTTATTTCTATTTCATATATATATATGAAAGCCATTCTCTTTCTAATATACCCTTCTATTTTATGCATATATGAAAGCCATTCTCTTACTACAATACCCATAACATTATTCCATCAGAGGAAAATAGTCTATTATGAAGTCAGACACACCCTGCTACAGCAGTCTTAAGTACAGGATAATATTCTCTACACTGCAATGATATCCTATGTAATTACTTAAGAAGAAAACTACCTGTGGGGGAAAAAATTTCATTGTTTTTGCTACTTTTATCAGAATATTACCTGATATGTAATTAATTCATAATTCAGAAACCATACAAATCTGAAGGAAACATCTAATCTAAGTAAGTTAACAGGCTCCAAAATACCTCACATTCTAAGGAAGATTTACATAATTAGTCTCAAAGTTGTAAATATAATATAAATTTATAATACTTGATTGGCATATTAAATTTTGCTCCTTCTCTACTTTACCCATGACTATGATCATTTTCTTTTTCACAAAGATTACTAGCTATACCCTAAGAAGGCTGCTAAACTACTCTTTGTGTTGTATCAGAATTAAATAAGAAATAGATTTAATCTAGTTCATAATAAACACATACATGTTTTAAAAATGTTTCTTTGTAAAAGATAAATTGCTGAGAAATTTTGATCAAATAAAATCATGCTATATACACAAAATATATATTTCTTCAGAAAAGATTAATATGTTAAAGAACTTCATAAAATGCTTTGCTAGTAAATAATCCTGTACATAGCAGAAATGAATCAAGAAAAATATTCAATAAGACTTTTTGCACAATATGCCTTGACAAACAAAATGGGCTCCCTTATAAGTTGGTAACATTCTTAATAGATAAATTGTACTGACACACCCAGTACTCACTATTTAAGATAATCTTCCCAAATTTCTTCTCATACTAAGCTTTCAGTTAATTCATATATAAGGTTTAAATTTAAGCATATTCATCTGCTGAATAAATGATCCACTCTGAGCCAAGAAACCTTAAATGTCACTTCCAAAGGAAATATAACAAACAGAAGGAATGTATAATACTATTTTTAATCCAGTTATAATGCCAAATATAGGTAATTAGCCCTTTGTTCTAACTTTTATGCTCTTCAATTAGAACTTCCATTTATGCCCTCAATTTAAGCATGTATGTCATCCAGTATAATAAAGGGGAAATTACAAGTTAATTTTTAAAACCTTATGCTGACCTAAAGTACACAGTTGCCTAAAGCAAAATGTGGTACAAAATTTAAGTAACAAAAGCACAAATGAATAAAATGGCTGGTCAAAGAAGTTCAGGCTCTCACTACAAAACATAGCAGTTAATTTACTGATTATAACCATGGCACTCTAGTTCACTAATCTAAACAAATATTCATTAATATCTAAAAAAGATGACTCATTTGAGTCTCAGCATTATTTTTAACATAACCATTCAAAATATTATTGCTAGAAAACATTTTGAATTAATTCAAGTAAAATCACTTTATCAATGCTAAAATTTACCTGCTTGAGTCCTTCATCAGTAAGTTTGTCCTGGTTGCCTACATGCACTTTCTGAAGTAAAGGACAGTGAGAGGCAACCGCAATAATAGAGGTGTCAGAAAGTTGTTTACACCTGTAGGCTGTATACCTAAGAAGTCCAGGACATTTAAATGCTAGAACACATACGCCAGTATCAGACATACTACGACAATCAGAAATGTTGATTTCAATTATATTCTGACTTCTTGATGCAATTTTTTCCAATAATTCATCAGTGACCTGTAAGAGAAAAAGCAATAAATTTAAACTTTTGCTACAAATAAAAACTTAGTTTCAATTCTTCAACTAAACTTTCCTCAATAAGCAATATACTAATCACATTATAGCATGAACAATACAATAAAAAATAAACCTTAATATTGAAGCATAACAAGAATTTGGTATAATAAAAATATTATATTTGATCTTTGTCCGGAATTCCTGCCACAGATCTCCCAAAACTGTTGGAATTTCCTAAGCAATAGAATTTCTTTAGTTATTCATAACAAGCCCTTTAGACCATACTTGAGTTCATACTAATGAAGTGATTTAGAGTGGGGCACCCAGATGGCTTCAGGATGAGGGCTGGTTACCAGAAAGACTAACTTTCAGTGCTACTTCCAGGAGGGGAGGGAAGCTGGAGATTGGGTTATAAAAACTCAAATGACAAGAGATTCAGATGGTAAACACATCAAAGTGCTGAGAGAGTGGTATATCCCATACCTTGCTTCCTGCATCTCTTCCATTTGGCTGGTCCTGAGCTGTATCTTTTATAAGAAACCCTTATAAGTTCTGTGAATAGTTATGGCTAATTATGAAAACTGAGAAGGAAATTAAGGGAACTCACAAATTTATAACTGGTCAGTGAGAAGTTCAGGTGGCTTCTGGGACTTGCAACTGACATTTGAAGTGTGGGTAGTCTAGTGGGATTAAGCCCTTAAACTCAGTGATACTCTGGGAGTTATTAGCTAAATTGAATTTTTGTACACACAGTTAGTGTCAAAAAACTGTTTGTTAGTGTGGAAAAAAACCCCACATATTTGATGTCAGAAGTGTTATCAGAAAACACCAACAAAAGATATGTGTTAGTTTCACTAAAAGCCTAAAAATCTATCATTGCTGTGAAAATTCACTTTACTTAAACCTTCAAATTCAGCAAAAACTCACCACAAACAAAACTATATTGAGACTTTCAATGTTTCACTTTCCATTTGTAACCCATGAAATAGTTTACATCAGTCACAATATGTATTTTCACTTTTTACAGCTGGTATCAGATGATACAACGGCACATTAAGTTTTAAATCTTTTACTGTTTCTATGAGAATGCTACCAATTCATGGGTTAGAAAATATACCATTTTGCAAATCAGAACACCAAAGACTATATAGAAATATCCACATCAAAAAGCTTTTCTCAAAAGAGTCAATGCTAAATATAAGTAAGCTTAGCATTCATCTAATTTTACTCAGATGGCCATCTGAATTTTTTTTTAAACCAGCCTCTACATATTCCGTGCCCAATCACCACATTTTCAAAATACAAAACATAGTTAATGTTATTCAAGTCATTTCAGGAAAAATAATGGAGATAGAAAATGCACATAAAATTTAGAATAGAAGGAAATAACTATAATGTTAGGCAGCACTCAGAGTAAGAGCCAAAGATAAAACTATCTATCTTTATGCTTGTTGGAAACAGCATAAACATAGTTCCTGAAAAAGTTAAAACTCTGACATACCTTTCCTTTTATTTCTTACTTTTTCATTCTCCATACCTTACTACCAACATCGGGCTGGGAGGGGAGGGAATGCGGTATCGGGTAGGAAGCTATTCTTAGTCTTAATTCATAATAAGTAACTTAAACATTGAAGAGTAATGAAATAACAAGATGATAGATTGTTTTACGCATATCTTCTCTCCATTCCACTGTCCACAACTAACTCCCTCACCATTCTCCTTGGACATAAATGTCATGAACACAAGCAGATAAATAAGAAATTATCTTAATTGTTTTAACCTCTTATTAATGAAGCAGAAAAACAGAAAGGGAACAACTTATGCACAAATTCTCATGGGCATGCTTAACTTGGTTAAAGTGTGTGTTATACACACACAAACACTACCAGTATGCTATAGCTGGCTCGTAGCAACTCACAGGAGTTTATAGTGTGTCCCTCTTTCCAAATCTGCACTCAGTGGCATAACGTGCAGCCTGACATTGGTCATGGTGGGAGTATTTATGTAATAGAAATTGGTAAATATTAAAAATCAGGGCTTTTGTTTTAAAGCCAGTTATTAAACACTTGTCAGGACACTACTAATAATATACCATGGCAGAATTTAGAACAGGTTTAGTACTTCAATAAAATCCTATTCTTTTTTATTGGATAGGATTTTATTGAAGTCCTAAACCTGTTCTAAGTTTAGAATAGGTTTTTTTACACATTTCTAATGTCAAATACTACCACGTTTTAAAAATGGGATCTAACAAGTCCAAAAAACTGTTAGCAATAAACATTTTTTTCCTAATTTATGCCCTTATTAGGCAGCTACACATTAGGCAGCTAAGCAACAGGAAGAGTAGAAAGTGCACAAAAAGAAAAGTTAAGAAAATAAAAGGTTATCTTAGCCTATTTTACTTCCATTTCTTCAGCTGTAAAACAGAAAAAATAACAGTATCTACTTACAGAGTTGTTGGGTGGATCAAATGAATTAATATGTAAAAAGCCCTTAGAACAGTACACAGCACAGAGGCAGTACTACAGAAATGTTTGCCATCATTTTCTACTATTAAGCTAGTAATAGTAATATGATCTCCAGCAATAAAAATGTTTAACAACTTTTTGAAAAGGTAATGAAAAAAGACAAAGAAAAAAAGAATTAAATAGCAGCCCTAAATTACCAATCTACACAAAAAAACTATCTTATTTACTATGAGAATCTAGCTTTAACTTGAATTCACATACAAAAAAATACAAAAGCACAAAATTGTACATTATAGTCATTTGAACTATGTCAAAAAAAAAGACAGTAAAGATTTCTGAAGAGAAATAAAGATATTTTTTGAGTAGGTCATATAAGTGCTACTTGAAATTCGATTCCATACCTGCTGACGACTACTAAGATCCAGCTGCTTCCAAAACTGGAAGTCTAAACAAAGGTCACGCCAGTACTTGCAAACCAATGATGCAGAAAGGCAACGCTCATCCAGTGACAAATTGGAAAATATCTGTGAATAAAAACACGTACTATTTAGTTTTTTTACTTAGAATTAAAACTATTACGTGCTAAACATTTTCAAGGCATAGGAAAAAGATTTTCACCAGTTACAAAAAGTTAACTTTTTAAAAAGGAAACCTTTTTGAATAAAAGTGGTCATTTTATAAGTCACTGTAAGAGACTGCCTTAAAGAGAAACTATGACATAGGAGCTAAAAATGGACTGATGTTATGGAGAAGAAGAGAACAGACACATACTAACATTTGTATTCATGTATATCTTTGTGTTTGCTTGCATTTGAAAAAAATGAATTGAAAGCATAAACTAATTAAACTAATTAAAACAACTGTTTACATTTCTGGGAAAGGAAAGAAGATGAGAGAAGAAAGAGTGATAAACTTGAGAATATTCTGAAGTTTTACAGTTTGACCTTGGAGCCATGTGAACTTTTTATATGTGATTTAAGAAAAAAAGAAAAAGAAAAGTGAATCATAAGAAAGGTACTTTACCTTTATGGTATCTTTTTCAAAATATCCGTAACCCAATCTAATACTAAGGAAAAAATATATACAAAATGTGGAACATTCTACACTGGATCAAAATTCCTCAAAAAATTCAAGGTCATGAAAAACATCAAGAAAAGACAGAAATTATCACAATCCGGAGGAGACTAAGAAAGAATGACAACTAATATAATCCAGTTAGATCCTGGGACAGAAAAGGACATTAATCGAAAAACTGTAAGTTTAACTAACTGGAAGTTTAATTTTAACTGAAGTTTAACTAACAGTAATTTGCCAATGCTGGTTTCATAGTTTTAGCAAATGTAACACAGTGTCAGAAGAAAATAAAATTAGGGGAAGTAAACTGGTGTGAAAGGAAAATAAGTCTCAAGACCCCAAAATCACTAAGCCAAAGACAAAAGTCAAAGTGGGAACTGCATCAGGTAAGCCTGTCTCCCATTTTATTTCTAAATAAGATAGCTACAAGGATTAAAGATAAATAAATAAATAAAGCTACATACTTCCCTTACAATTTGCCCACAAGGAAATTCTCTGTAGACCTCAAGATCTTGACCCTAAAGCACTTCTGTTGAATTTCACCCTGACCATGTAAATTGATAGCTTCTCTTCACAGATGTGGGACAAATAACAGAACTCGGTCATCCCTCTGCTCACCTGAGACAAATGCATATATGATTGTTTCCTCTGCAGTACTGTTTATGTAAAAAGGTAGGTTCACTGAGTCAGACTAAGGCATAAGTGATTATTCCTCTACCCCCGTCACATGTAAACTATGTATTCAGTGAAAGGCTGATGAAAGACCCCAAAGAATGCAACCTTTTATCTTTTAACTACCTATAACCTGGAAGCCCTGACTTTGAGCCTGTCATGCCTTTCTGGACTGAACCAATGTATATCTTATGTCTCGTGTCTCCCTAAAATATACAAAATTAGGCTGTGCCCCAACCACCTTGGGCACACGTACTCAGGATTTCCTGAGGGCTGCGTCACAGGCCACTGATCACTCATATGTGGCTCAGAGTAAAACTCTTCAAATATTTTACAGTTTGACTGCTTTCATCAACACTGCATAAGGAACACAGGGGAAATCTCTATACTATCACTGCAATTTTTCTATAGATCTAGAAGTATTCCATGTGAAAACATATACTTTAAATATATACAATAAAATTATTCCAAAATAAAATCTATTTTAAAAAATAATTTTTAAAAGTTACATCATAAAAAGATGGCTAGGGTCAGGTGAGGTCCAATACAAATCTTGGAAAATTAAAAGCTACTTCAACAAACACCATGTGTGGGCCACAATGAGATCCAGAAATGAACCAACTCTAAGATGATTTTCTGAGACAAATAAAACTGAACACAAATGATATTAAAGAATTATTAAATAATATTAAACACTGAAATAAATGTGAGCTATACATTTAAAAAAGATTAATAAAAACAAGATAATTATTTACCCAATTATTCCAGTTCAGGGTTGCAAGTGGCCAGAGGTCAGGGCTCAAGGTAAGAACTAACAATGAACAGGACACCACTGCACCACAGGAAACATGTACACTCACTCATACTGGGACTATCGACACATGCACACCTTATACACAACCTAACATACACAGCTTTGGGATGTGGGAGGAAACCCGAGTACCCAAAGAAAATATATGCAGGCATGGGCAAAAAATGCAAACTCTACACAGACTGTGGCCCCAGCTACAAATTTTTTTCTCATCAACATTATAACAAAATGATGTTGAACTAAATAAAGGCTATCATTCAAGGACTTGTTTTAATACATAAATGATTTCAATCATAACTATGACCTAAAATGACTTACCTCTATATGGACAAAAGTTGTAGACATATAAGCTAGAATCTCTATTATGTTTAAATCTTGAGCCTTGGGAAAATAACTGCCTGTTCCTTTCACAACCACTGTTTTTCCTCTAACAAGTCTAGTGAGAAGTAGAGAATATCATAAAAGCAGCCAGGCACAGTGGCTCATGTCTATAATCCTGGCACTTTGGGAGGCAGAGACAGGCAAATCATAAGGTCAGTTCAAGACCAGCCTGGCCGATATTGGTGAAACCTTGTCTCTACTAAAAATACAAAAATTAGCCGGACGTGGTGGTGCACCCCTGTTGTCCTAGTTACTCGAGAGGCTGAGGCAGTAGAATCACTTGAACATGGGAGGCGGAAGTTGCAGTGAGTCAAGACTGTGCCACTGCACTCCAGCCTGAGCAACAGAGCGAGACTCTATGTCAAAAAAAACAAAAATCATAAAAGTCACTAGCGAGTTTGTCTGCAATGCCAGCAAACATGTATTAAGCCCATTACAGCCTTTCACTTGCAGTCATTACAACTAAAATATCTGGACAATATACTAAAAGCAATTACCTCAAAACTCTACAAAGTTAATAACAAATGGATTGTGAAGGGGTGCCAAAATTTGAAGAATGGCCAATAATAAGGATGAGTTTCCTGTTTTTTTTTTTTCTTTAATCCCCTAGCATAGAATTCAGGGTGGTCCCTGTACAGAAATGCACAGGAGGTACAATCAACAAAAATTCAGAGAAAAAGCTATCTTTCTGGACAAAGGAACAGGAAAATGGGCCTCCACAAGACAGAATGTGAGAAGAATCCTCATTTTTGGCTTTCCTTTCTTCTCCTTTTCTCTTTTCTCCCTACTGGCTATGTCCCAAATGCTCTGTCAGTAGCAGAATCCAAAAGTAAACTCACCATTATGGCCAAAATAATTGGGGAAGAGAACTCGGTGATTCCACAATTATGCAAGGAATTCCCACTACCTTTGCTTAATTTTATCATAAAAGCAGCCCCAGCCACAAAAAACTACACAGCAGCACAGGTGACTGTATCTCTAAGAGAAACTCCATCTTTCAAGCCAGATAACCAAATAAAGTTTTATTAGCACACAAAACATAAATGAATGTATGCAACTATGTGCCAATAAACATGATTTACAAAAACTGGCAGAGGATTTGGCCTGCAAAGGGCTAGTTTGCTGGCCTATTCACAAGAAAAATAGAAATGAAAAGAAACTGCCCATGAGGTAACCTAGACATTGGACCTACTAGACAAAGACAATCAATAATTTAAACATGCTCAAAGAGCTAAAGAAAACCATGGACTAAGAACTAAAGGAAATGATGAGAACCAAACAGAACTGTTTAACCAAATGGAGAATATTAATAAAAAGTAGAAATTATGACTAAATCTAGTAAGGATTCTCGAACTAAATTATACAATTACTGACCTTTAAAAATTCACTGCAGAGATTCAACAGATGAGAGCAAGCAGAAGTGTTATATAAATGAGCCAAAGATGATTTCTCTGTGTTGGTCCCTAGGTTATTTCTTCTCCACAGGATGAGAATCATTAGCTCGAGAGCCCACTAGTACCAAACTCAAATTTTTATACATCCCACCTTGCTGCTGAGTGACATCACCTAGACCAGTAAGCCTGCTCTCCAATTCTCCTGTGCCCCCAGGGGTTGCCTTGCCCTCCTCCACTTCTGGATGGTGGTCTACCTTGCTATAAGCTTCTGCACAGCCTCACGCTGTAAAAGAATTTTCCTCTCATATAATACTGTCCAACTGCCACCCAATGAAGCTTGTTGTGTGTCACCACCTCTTATAATCATATCTCTTTCTTGGTAAGCATCAAAATCTGTTGAATCTCTCCAAGAAGAAAGAATGAAGATAGGCCAATTGAAATTACTGAGTCTGTGGACTGAAGGAAAATGAACAGAACCTAACATACCTGTGGAACACCACTGAACATACTAACATACATATAATTGGAGTCACAGAAGGAAGAAAGAATTCAAAAGGCCTAAATATTTCAAGAAATGATCCTAAAACTTTCCATATCTGATGAAAGACATGAATCTAGCTCATAAACTCAATGAATTCCAAGCAGGATAAATGCAAAAAGATCCACATTAAGATGTATCGTAATCAAATTGTTGAAGACAAAAATCCAAGAGAAAACCCTGAAAGCAACAAGAAAAATGCAATTCATAAAAAGGACATTTAATGTGACTAATGCCTGATCTTCCACTGGAAACTATGGAGGCCAGAAGGCAGTGGGATAACAGATTCAAAATGCTGAAAGGAAACTTAACCAAGAATCCTCTATCTTGTAAAAAACGCTTTAAAAATAAAGGCAAAATTAAGATCTTTCCAGATAAACAACTGAGGAAGTTTGTCACTGGTAGACCTCCCCTAAAAGAAATACTAGAAAGAGTCCAACAGGCTGAAATGTAAGGGCATCAGACAGTGGCTTAAAATCACTTAAGAAATAAAGGACACCAGTAATGGTTGGTATTTACATAGGTAAATATAAAAGTACATATTAATGTGTTTTTGGTTTGTAATGACTCTTCTTTCCTATATGATTTAAAAGACTACATAAAACAGTAATTATGAATCTATGTTGATTAGCACAAAATACATAAAGGTGTAAC